GCATAGAAACGGTTCTTAAGCTTCGGAATTTAAAACTAGTAAAGTTTGCTTTTTGTTAGGTGTGAACTAATAAGGCATACGTTCCATAGGACTTCTGAAGGTCATACATATGTATGTATAAAAAGTAAATTGGCAATTATTTACCTTTACTAAACAGTAAAGCTACCTGGGCCTGGATCACGTCATCAATATTTAAAGATTATTTAATGAAGTTGTTGTTTGGTTTTTTGTTTGTCCTTACGAAAAGTCCTAAGTACAAATACTTCATCATCATCATAATCATCAGCCTATAAGTGCCCACTGCTGAGCAAAGACCTCTTCTCACACGGAGAAGGCCACCAAGCTTGCTGAATGCGGGTTGTCAAAACAAAATGTACCTTGCTAGCTATTTCTGCGCGGTTTCGATCGCTGTTCGGCGCCATTTGATTAAAGCGTGGTGTTGTATAGCCTATAGCACTCAACAACATTATAGCTATCAATAAGTGAAAGAATTTTGGTCATCCATTGGTTCCAAAAATTACTTCTTACATACAAACTTACAAATTTTACCTCTTTATAATGTTAGTATAAATTAACTTGTCTTGACTACCTAAGTATACAAAACAACTAATTATGCGTAGGTTTTTATTATAACAGTAAATCAGTGTTAAGTTTGCCTTTAGATTCAACACATGATAGATATGCGGTGAGCGCAGATATAAATACGCGAGACACAATAAATTCTACTTTTAAAACTGCACGATTAGCGCGGTGGCTGGGGAACTGGCTGCCACGCAACGTGTCGCGGGTTCGATTCCCGCACGGAACAACTCTTTGTGTGATCCACAGATTGTTTTTCCGGGTCTGGGTGTGATGTGCATGTGAAATTGTATGTTTGTAAACGCACCCACGTCACAGAAGAGAAAAATCAAATGACGGGCAACGTTTTTTTTTTAAAAAAAAATGTTCTTATAATGTTGTTGTTGTTACTGTTTGTTTTTGTTTTGTAGTTTGTACTGTGCTCACATACCGGCGAACAAGAGGTGAAAATTCTTTCACAATGATCTTAATTCTAGAATACACCATTCTATAAATACACTGACTGCAACCTCTATATACATATATCTCTGTATGTACATTATAAAAAAAAACTGGTTTTGTCTCATACCTGAAGTTTCGGGTTGAGGGAAACTAATTCTTCATATTCGTAAAATAAAACTTATAATACCTAAATGCTATGTTACGAAGCGACGCGAACGACGTAGTAGCATAAATAAATAAATTATATGTTACTCAATCATCGAACTTAGTAAAAGCTTTACTTTATGACGTAAATAAATGCGAATAAAGTTTATTTTCCTATACATATTTCAATCAGTGTTTTCGCTATTCCACTACCTCTGTCAATGACTATCTCACCAAGGAGTTTATCGTTGCTGTAGGTAACTAAACATATATTATCTGTTTCGATTTTCTTTTTTATTTTTAATTGTCTATTGCTATCTGCCATTTCTAAACAAAAAGAATGGTTAATGTTCAAATCATATTTCCTCACACTTCTTCAAAATTTCACTACAAGCGTAATAGAGGAGACAGACAACAGTCAATCTACTAAGAATTTCTCTGAGCATTCTATTCTATTGGACCTTAATCATTATTATGTATTATTTATTCCCTAGTATGATTCATTAGTTACCTACCAACTTCCTCGCCACAGCAAACAATGTATGATGCATTTAACTGGTCCACCATCAGCATTCAAACAATCATATTATTCTCGAATGACGTTTTGAACAAAGTAATTTTCCTAGTACGCAGTTGACAATGGAAGGGCGTGAGTACCAAGTTTATACCCACCATGATTATACAATCATATCACTAAGGAATTGTTCTTGGTACCTACAAGGCATGATCTGCGTAGCTTTATTGTCATGATACATTACAACTGGTAAGCTAACATTTGCCGACTGAGGCAAGAACATTAATCGTGGCAAATTTTTCTTCTTTTATGGTAGGTATAGGTCGGCAAACGAGCAAACGGATTACCTTATGGTTAACCCGCAACACCAAAGGAGTGACGAGTGCGTTGCCGGCCTTTTAGGGAGAAGGGTTTCGGATATTTAAGGATTGGAAAGGGATAGGTGGAGAGCAACAAGAGAGAACACAACTTTGTAGTTGTCTCACGCCTGTAAGGCCGCGGTATCAATCCGATCGAGTACCTAAACACACTTTTTTATCAGATGTTAATAAGTATTTATTTCTATGACATACTATCTCAGCTTCTGGGTGAACCCAAAAGCCTAATGGCCAAGTCAAGGGTAGCTAAAAAGGAACTAACTCCGGCCTTGTACTATCCGCTGCTTCTATGTCTTAGCAACCAATAAGAATCGTACTAAGTTACTAACACCAAAATCTTTGGTACGATTCTTACATCCTCGTTGAGTTACAACAGATACATAATAAACAATTAACAAATAATCGAATTTAAGTCAATCAATGGAATGAAATTGATTAAAAACTTCCTTATGACTCTCAAGTTATGAAGTCATTAAAATACTAAATTGTACGGAACAAAAAGCTTTTAATAAGAGCAATTAAAGTCTATCTGAATTAATAGTGTGAAATTAAGTAGCTTCCTACATAGGGTTTTTAAATAGATATGCATCTAGATATACATAGTTTCTAACACATGGTCATTTACTTGTTCACAATAGCGTGTCATGAGACAAAATGATAACAACAACAGATTCACAGACCACGGAAGCCTTGAGAAGTGACGATTAAGTTCTTTTTTCTAACATTTAAATTTCAAGGTTGACACGATCCCGTAACTTCTAGGAAAAAAAGAACGCATTTATGATTCGTAATAGTTACGGTTTTTTTAATAAAAAAAACACAATGTCAAACAGACAGCATTAGGGTACTTGCACAGATAAAAAAGACATAAATAATAGCTGTCATGTTTTTAATCTTCATTTTATAAAGGTTGGTACGTATCTACTGAAATATCATAATAAAAAGATTATATTGAGTTGTAATGCAATCTCCGTTGGGAATTTTATTATAGTCATGATTGCGTAAAAAGTAATTCAACTAAAATTACTTTCCTTTCCTTGATGTCAAATGGATAGATATATTACAAAATGGCTCGACGCAGAATAACGGATATATACACCTTCGTAGTTAACGAGACGAAAAGATTTTGTATTCTATCTTCCTCCACTGATATAAGTTCAGAAAAATTATCAGCACGAAAATTCATAAGTGGTTAAACGGGGTGAATAGAATTCTAGAGGTGAATTGACGCAAAGGAATATCAGAGAATTAGATCTAGTGTTTTCGGTAATCAAAAAGTTAATAGATCATGTATCAGATGTAGGAGAGCCTTGCTTTGGCATGAATGGGGCTGGACCGGACTGATACCACGGCCTGACAGAAAACCGGTGTGAAGCAACACTCACATTGTGTTTCGCCGTGTAAGTGGAGCTACCGAAGGCCAAGTCCCCGCCCCCTCCCTCATACTCCTAAATCCTCAAATCCCCTATCATTGAATCCCTAATAACCCACAAGAGGTCGGCAACGTACTTGTAGTACAAAGCTACTATAATATTACGAGTGTCGATGGGCGGCGCTAGTTGCTTACCACCAGGTAATCCTTCTGTTCGTTTGTCGACCTATGCCAAATAATAAAACTATCCACATATTTATATCTAAGTGTTCGTCAAATGCACGCAACAAGCACCTTTTAAGTTATAAGTAGGTAAGTTAGAAATTCCTTGCCCTGTCGAAGTAGCACGTGTGATAAGAAACGTTAAGTGTAGGCAACCTAGAAACGTTATCTTTGAACCAAAATGGTTTCTATTGATTAAGATACAAAAGGGCGTAGAAACTAAGAATTTATTATGCATTGAAGGTTGAAAATCGATTGCAGTGCCATTAAAACTATTCAGAAACTTACTAAAAAAGATCGATACCAAAAGTTGCCTGAGCAATTTATACACAGTTATGTTTTCTTCTTTCAAAAATTAGGTAATAATAAGAACAGACAGAAACTAATAATATTATGTCGTAATCTATAACACCTTAATGGATATCCCGACATCGAGTAAGAATATCGACTTTATTCAATCGATTAGAACAATCGGGGCACACAGTAACTGCACTGTCTCCTATCGTAAGAGAGACAGCACTTAACTTTTTTCTCATAAACATTTAATATATGCGGCAAATAACGTTGTTAATAACAGTTATTAAAGCAACGGAAACAATGGGAAATGTGATTATTTAACATTCATTGATACTGTTTTTGCTGTCATAAAAGAAGTTCATCACGCAGTCGCCATCTTGGATGACTAACTCGTTGTGTTTAAAACTTTGTGTTTAATCGATATTTTTACTCGAATAGACGTACCTAAATAATATTAACATTGCCTTGACATCGATCGCGTGTTTAGCTAAACGAACATTCAAAATTCGCAAACGTAAATTCCATAGTCAATAGCCCATTCTTATGTTCAATGCTTATTGCAATATCGCAAAGTCGAAAGTGTATTCAAGATTGTTAAAATATGTAACAGAATTACCTAGCGTCGGACAAAAATTAGAAAAAAATTAAAAATGTCTCCATGACGAATACCTATATAAAAGGCAATATAAAGAGCTCGTAATACCAGCCAGACATTACTGTTGAAACCAAAATAATACCCAAAATCATAGGCTAATTACGAGAAAACCTACGTGATTTTGCTAGAAGCTGTACTGTACCAACGGATTTTTTCAGAACGTTTAGCACTGAGGAAATCATTATTTGATTATTTGATTGGTTTCTGATCAGTATTAAATAAAGTAATCGGTTCTTTATACTCCTACTATCAAACCTACTATTAAAAACCAAGTACAGGGAAATCGAGGTGCTTGGCTTTAATAAAACCTTTTATTCAAAAATCTAGTCCTACCAAAATGCAACCTTAAACTCTCCAAAATTAAACAAAATCCTTAACAAAATATTCTTTTAATTTCAGGTGAACCAGTGCGCTGTTGGACGTGCTCCTCTGACCTGAATCCGCTCTGCAACGACCCCTTCCTCGCTGGAAGATCAGACAACTCTTACTTGTTCAGATTGGAGAACTGTGACGCCAATGCGGGAGCCACATACCCCCATCTCACATCTTCCAAGTCCGTCTGCAAGAAGATGAAGAAATACAGTAAGTTTTGATAATTTTAGTCTATTCATAAGCTCATTTTGACTAATAGGAGTTACATTATTGCATTTAATTTTTGTTGTAAGTTTAACTGGTAGTAGTAAGTAATTCTTCATTATAATACTAAGCGATTAACGAGGCCTATTAATTGAAATAATGGGGCATACACGGTGATAGAGCTATTTTAGAAATTATACAAAAATAAATTAATACCTAGGTTTGTACATTTTATTGTAGGATGGGCGACTATATCGCAGAGTGATCTCTTCGAAATCACATGAAGTAAATTAATAATGAAAAGAAAGGTTTCATTTCCAAAAACATCTCCCTACCTATTGAAAACTAAGTGAGTTATGATTTACTTATAGTACCTACAAATAAGGAAAGACCAGTATGCAAGTTGTTGCCATACTTTATTGGTTTCATAGAAAGTTGATCAAGTAGTGCTTCCTCAAGCAGTTTATAGACTCTGGTTTTAACCTTTTTACGTTGCTTTTATGGAAGGATGTGGTTGGGTGTAAGACAGGATGCAGGCTATGCGAAACCATAAAACAGTGTTGCTGGTTCCACTGCTAATCAGATCGAAACTGTTTTAAAAAAGTTATAATGATAAACTGCGTTCAATAATTATGTAACACATAAGTAAATTGAGACTTACTTTGGTACTGATTTGCTTGCATACGTAAGGGAAATACAGGGCTTTTAGGAAAAACATAAACAACCTCAGAGGACTGTAACCTACCAACATTATAACGATAAAGACCATAAACAAACTTTCTGTTGTTCTATAACTTTTTAAAATCTCAAGCAATTTTAACACGTTAAACTCTTGGTGGACAACATTGTGTCCCACGATAGCGGAGGGTTTGCCCTCACCTGTAATTTGTCGGCAGACAATTACTTAAACTAACTTAGAACCAAAGTTGTGGTGTTTGGCATGTTGGCTACACTCTTCGTTGGAAGTGGAAGGTTAGTAATGTTTTGCCTATAACCCTGAGAACAGCAGTTTAGCAAAGCATACTGAGCTATGAGGTTACATTAATAGAATACTGTAACTACCAGTATAAATATATTGGTGAAATAAAAAAAATCTGTTCCATTAGGTATTGAATATGTTGTACTCGTAGATACGAATATAGATATGTTCTTTAATTATTATGTTTTTGGCTGACTCACGTAATAATTTGACGAGATACTTCACTAGTTTCAAGCCATGCTAGAGGCCCATATTCATGAGCACCATTCCGCGACACGCGACTCGAGACTCGAGTCGCCAGTAGCAGCGCAACAGTCGCCGAAAACATAATAATTAATTTAGAATGTTGTGAATGTTGAAAGTTATAATAAAAATAGATATGTTCTTTCTTTCGAATTTATAATGAATGAATTTATAGATAACTGACTCATAACAGCTGTTCCAATGTTTTCTTTCCCGGGTACTGCTAATGTTTATTCAGCCAAAACATAATTGTTTCAGCCGTAGGTATTGTAGTCGATACGCTACGATATGTAAACATAAAGGAAAAGGAACCTTATGTTTAGAAGTAACCAACATATATTATCTAATTACTAGATTTGCCAGCAGATTTTTAGTATAAATTAATCCTATGTCCTTTCTCGAGTACCAAACTAGGTTTGTACCAAATTTCACAGAAGTCGGTTCAGTAGTTTAGGCGTGAAGAAAAGACAGACAGAGTTACTTTCGAATTTTAATATTAGTTAGATCTGCCCCGGCTTCGCACGGGTGCAATAAATGATACTAAATTACTCCCGTCTTTAATAGATGTTATTACTTACACTTAAAATCATCTTCAATCACTATTTATTTTAAAAAAGTCATTTTTTTAGATTTAAGCCTACCTATACAGAGTGAGACAGAAAAAACAACTAAGTTTTATACTATGTAGTGAAACAATCAAGTTCTTTGTCAGTAGTATCAGTTCCAACATCAATAACCCACTTTTACAACTCGATCTTGACTCTTAGATGTTTTGGGTATCAATGGGTGGCGTGGACTATGTAACAGGCGGGCCGTCTATTCGTTCGCCGTCTTATCCCATAAAATATCTAAGTAGATATTTATAGAAATTTACTTACCGTTTGTGTAAAACTGATAATAGTAGGTATTGTTATAACCTTATTATAAAACATATCCTAAGTTTTCAAAGAAAATACAAAGAAACTTACACATCCAAACCAGGCACGCATTCAGCCTATAATCTAATAATGGCCAGATTTAAAAAATAAATGTTCCATATTGTATCAAAACATGATTATTATGCCGGTCGGGTCGTGCGTTTCGGTGGCGTCCAATGGGTTTTTCTGAATGCTTGAATAGAAATAAAAGTAGCGTCGTCGTCAACAACGAAAGGAATTTCGGAAATGAGGTCAGTTTTGTTCACCGTTTGTTTAATAATAGGTGGCTATTGCAACGCGGAACAAAAGTATAACATAGCTTTAATTGTTTTCAAGTTTAAAATTTAAACACAAAATAGCTATTTAGTTAGCTAAGTAAATGATACCTATGTAAAAAAAACATTTTTAAATAGTTCCATTAGAATACCCCATAGGAATCCAAACTAATATTATAAATGCGAAATTAACTCTGTCTATCTGTCTTTTCTTCACGCCTAAACTACTGAACTTATTTATATGATAAGTATATTTTTAAAGACATAGTTTGGAACACGAGAAGGACGTAGGTCTTTAACACAAAAAGCTGCAGGCACTCACTATGCCACGCGAACAAAGTCGCGGGAAAAAGCTAGTGTAGCTATATAAAAAACCGAAAGGTAGCCTAAATATCTGAAGAGAAGGCTATCGAATTATGAAATACTAGCTTTCGCTCGCAGCTTCGCGGGCTCGGTATGTTGACTAAAAGCAGCCTATGCGTTAATCCAGGGTACCACCTATCTTCTTTCCAAATTTCAAACAAATCAGTCCAATTATTTTTGCGTGAAAGAATAACAAACGTACCTACATCCATACCATAATCACAATCTTTCTGATTTATAACATTAGTAGCTAGGGTTTTCAAATTGGTCCAACAGTTACGGAACCCATCCAATGTCAACAAACCATTCATCTTCCCTCTTTATAATGTTAATATAGATAACCAGATGATTTCTATTGACCCTAAAAGCCCTAGCTCCCACAAACCGGCAGTTTTACGGCAGATAACTTTTAAAAGCGGCCCTAAGTCGGAACCAGTTTACATTGACTAAACACCGTTACCACAGTTAGGTGACCCCATTGCCAATGTTATCATTGGATGGTTGTAATAGGTCTGTAGGTGTACCTACGGTGAAATTGCCGTTTTGCATGAAAACATTTAAACGATTTTTTTGGTTTGAAATGCGATGAAAATTTAACACTAATCAATAAACAAATAACTACTTTTGGAAAAAGAATCCCATGTTTTTAAAACAAAATTAATTAGCCTTAGCCTAACAAAAACTATTTTGATTTGAAATGGCAAGTACTGCAGAACGGCAATTTCATAGGTAAAGACCTATTATAAATGTAATAACATTCCATTATTGAATGTTGTTCACATAGCTTATTTTACTTGTATCCAAATAAACTTTTAGAAGAAAGTCGTTATTTTAAATTAAGAATTCAAAGTTAATAAAATATTCTCAGATTTGTTAATCTATTGACTGTTTCTATTTGTTACTATTCAAAGAGTGTTTCAATGGGATAGAAAAAGCGAAGTATGTAGGTAAAAAGAAACTGTGCTAGAAGAATGCTTTGGCAGAAAGGTCTGGCTCGAGCGAATTGGTAGCACAGCATCATAGGACACCTGGCGGAAACTAGCGTTTTCTTCTCTCCGAAGAAGGCCAAAGCCTCCCAAATCCCCTCCCCCGGAAGCCGTTCCTAGTAATCCTACTACTAATATTATAAATGTGAAAGTTTGGGAGAATATCTGGATGGATGTTTGTTATTCCTTCACGTAAAACAGCTGGACTGATTTGGTTTAAATTTGACATGTAGATAGGTGAATTGGACACTGAAATTGGTCAATATGTTGATAAAAAGCAGCCATATGTACTGTGGCTGGGCAACTGGCTGCCGTGCAACGTGTCGCTGGTTCGATTCCAGCACGGAACAACTCTTTGTGTGATCCACAAATTGTTGTTCCGGATCTGGGTGTCTTGTGTATGTGAAATTGTATGTTTGTAACAGCACCCACGACACAGGAGAAAATCCAAATGTGGGGCAACGTTTTTAAAAAAAGAAGAAAGAAAAGAAGATAATACCAAGCGAGCGAAGCCACATGGGAAAGCTTGTAAAGACCTATAATAACCTATATGTATAGCTATTACTCGTGTATGTATGATCATAAGTCTTGTCAAAAGCTTATGTCACCGCACTCTTTTCGAAATAAAATGGCTATGATGGACCTGAAATATTTCAGTTCCAATGTCATAGACCTACCTACCATACTTGTTAATTATACCTACTTACCTACTGATAGGTACGTAGTTTAGTTAACTATGTCTTTCTATTGTTCGTTGTAATAGCTGCTAATTCCTGATGTCATTTGTTTTGGTTTGAATTCCTGGTGCAAACGAGTATCTACCTACCTATTTACAAGGTCAAAAGATGTTAGTGAATTGAATAAGTAGATAGATCTATTCACAATATTGACTAATTAGGGATAGGTTAGGCAGATTTTTCAATAGTCAGATAAGTCATATCTGAATAACATTATTGCTGTCACTGTCTTAAACAAACATTCTGATGCGACAGCTTCGTAATTAATCCCCATGTAACTTTTATCTAACCATTGAAAAGTCAGCCCTTATAAAAATGTTTCCTATGTCTACCTACATACCTACCATACACTAGGATTTTGTGCAGTGTGTTTGACACCAGTGTCATTTGCTTTGACATTATTTCTCATGCATTTCATACCCTGAAGAGGAATACTTAACAATATATTGATCAAATAAGGAAGTGTTTCGTCCGGCAATCCGGGTACCTACCAAACAAATCTGTTAAACAAACGTTGCACAGCAGCCTGTCGCCCAGTCTAATCCATTCCAATCGAACAGACAAAGAAGATACCTAAAGTTCTTACATTTGTCAGTACCTATGTGCCTAAAAAGTAAAGGTGGTCATGACGTAAATAATTTATATGTAGATATCTAGTTATACCTAATGACGCTTCTGAAATAGACTAGGTATCTATCTCTATTTATTTTCTTTACAGTTATGGTACCCGGGCTAAGTTTTATCTGCATTAGGACCTTCCCGGAACATTTTAAATCTCTTAGTTGAATGTTGGCAATAGGCTTTCAAACCTGAAAGATACATGTAATGTAGGTATATCGGTCTTGTAGATAGGCCATTATCTTCTTCAAAACTAGGCATTGCCATAGGCATCACCTGACCAAATAAATTTAAAATAATTATCTTCATTAGCTACTCTACGTCTCTTAGTATAATTAAAAGTTACAAAGGGTAATTATAATTACAGAGAGACCTCTACAAATTGGGTCACGCACGACGGCTGTTAACTTCATAGACGAACCACTATATAAGCACATACACAGCTAATTTGTACGTTTCAATGCTAAAGGTCGTAAATGGAGATCATTTTGAAGTTTCTATGTATGTTTATGAGGTACATAGATACCTACGTAATACAAGGTTGAAATCGGTAGTAGTTTAAACCATTGTGATTGAGGATAATGGTGGTATCTACTGAATGATTGTTGTCCATTTTCATTTGCGTGCTTTACTTTATTACTTTATGCTAGATAACCTAATAATGCTTAGGCAGTTTGTCGCAAATTTACTCAGGTACTTACTATTTGATGATCGACTCTTTAAAGTCGAAATAAACTGTGTCTACTTATTTGTATCTATCCTAATCTCGTAAACGGCTTAACCATTTTAGATGCCATGCCAGACAGAAATTTTTAGAATAAAAATTAATCTCATTAATGTTCGTGTTTATTTACAGTTAATGGACAACTGGTTGTGAGCCGTGGATGCACGTGGAAGCGTGCCGATGACTACAGCACGCAATGCCCAAGCGCGTCCAACGGACCTTACGAAGTGACCTCCTTCTGTGAGACCTGTGAATACGACGGGTGCAACGGAGCAGCTACCATCAGCAAAACCATTGCCCTACTAGCCGCCCCCCTCACACTCCTTCTCTTCAAGTAACTAACACAATAAAACACAATTCATAGTACAAAATAATATATTATAAAATAGAGATATTTTTATTGTCTACCGTGGGACCATACCGAAATATTTCCCAATGTACAGAGCCGAGTATACCCACCGTAAAATTTTAAGTTTTTCTCACATCGAAATATTGTAATTTTTTTTTTTTAATTCTTTTTATGAGTTTCTTAATGTGATTGATTATTCAGCCATGTTTTTATGAAGCTTTAAAATGTCTACCTTTATGTTTTTTAATCTGTGGTTTTGTAATATTCTACCTATACTTGCTATTTACTTTTGTAATGTCTATTATATCTTAATGTGTTGTTCATTGTTCTCACTTGCTGGTTAAGGAGTATTTTCTGTAAAAGTATGTGTATCTTTCATTAACTTAATGTCTCTACACTTAAACATACTTAATTAAGTTAGTTTTAAGTTAGCAATAACTGAAATACGTACCTAGTTGTTTTGTTCGTGTCATGTCGTTGTATCGTCGCAATACATTCAGTGCCTTATTCGTCGTCCGTATTTAAAATAAAAAAGAAAATAACTACAAATGTAATCAAAAGTTAGCGATATAGAATCCGATTTGTTAAAAAAACGATGACCTACTAAGTACCGACCAAAATAAATGCTAATGTTGTTTTAATTAAAGTTTATCTTAAACATCTGTTGTTTTAATCTTACTTAATTTATAGGGCCCTTCTACTTACCAACTTTTTGTATTTAAGTTTTAATGTCATTGGTAACGAGCAGACGGGTTATCTGATGGTCAGCAATCGGCGCCACCCATAGACAACCGCAATACCAAAGGAGTTACGAATGCGCTGCCGGCCTTTTGAGGATAAGGGTATGTGTGTATCCTCAGAATGTGCCTTATATTCTAAGTTATAGTAGAAACGAAATTTTTATTTGCGTATGGGTGACGTAGGATTAAGTTAATGTCACAGAGAACTGTCCCCTGACTGCAACAAAAAATGCTTAATCCTTTCCTTTTGACAACTTGTTGTTGCAGCCGTGTGCAACTTAATGAAAAACGTAAACAAGGATAAAACATTTCAAAATGAATGAAATCACCTTCATTGAAACTGCTAGCTAGGAACTTAATTTTACAATAGGTACCTAAACCACTCGGTGATATCACTATTTCTAATAGTACCTACCTACACACAGAAGGGTTTTCCCTCAGTCCAAAAGGTTCATCATATTTTTTTTGTGTCTGATTGTAAAATGGTTCCTTGTACTAAAAGGTAAGAAGTTATGAATAAAAAGATAGGCACCCATTGTCGGCCGTATCATAACTTACCATGTAAATTACTCCCTGCACCTAGGTCCTCGACAAATTGCGTAAATGGGAGGCTCGTTCTTCTTAATAGGGCATTACTAAAATGTAAAAAACCTAGACTCGTGCCAAATCAATTAAACAGTAGTAAAAACAATGCAATTTTCAGTGTAATAATACATTGAAGATCAGAGCAAGAAAATAAATGAAACAAAATATTTTTACTTTAAAAAAGGTAATTTATATATTTAAGTACTTACGTCAACATTACAAAAAGGCGATTCATTGTTATTATTATTACATGGACGGCATTCAGATTCAGTCTTATAAAACTAATTAGAAATTGTAAGCAACTTACTTACAGAGTTTATACATGCATTGATAGGTACTTATACGAATAAAATACATAATATATTTATTATAATATTAAAATTAAGGATATTGAACTTAAGGAATATGTATTACTTCCGGTACAAAGAGTCTTTATAATCAATCCAAGAAAGTTACACACTCATACACATTTTTGACCTATTTTCGCTAGAATAAAGTGTGGTTATTGTTATAATACGAATATACTTACAACTAACTTTTGTAACAGCCCAAAGTTGGTCACGTTGATATATTATTATAGGCTGTCTGTCAATCGTTTATGGGACCCGATAGTGACCTGAAATTAGTCGAGCAGACTCATACTGTTACAACAGGTAACAGAATATTTATTCAATTTAAGGTCTTATGCATAACGTAAGATAATTTATAATCATTCAAAGTATACCCACATCTTCATTGTAGCTTTTTAAAAGAACTTTCACCTTTCTCCATTGTAATACAAAATACTATTAAATAAGTTTCTACAAAATGTAGTGTGGGAGTATAAGGTCAATTTTGAATAACTCTCATTCAATTCATACATACTAATTATATGTATGTTTAAGGCCTTATAGTCCATTATTTTGATTAATTATAATCAAATAGTGTTACATTATATTTATAAAAAATGATAAGAGTACTAGCTTACAATAATTGAAAAAAAATGCGTTTGCGCTTTGCGTTTGTGCTTATTAGTTGGCGCCACTATAGAGAAAGGATTTAATCACTAAACGTTTTTAAGTTAGTGAACCATGATTTGTATATTTTATTTAGATATCTGTACCTTCTTGTTAACAATTTTCATTATGATACTATACATAGAATGCGGCACACATGATAAGATTATTATGTCCATAAATATAACATGAAGTTGTTAAAATAAAGTTAAGTATTTCATTGCTTATTATTAAAATAGGTAGGAATCTTGTTTTGTTTCATTATTACAATATACTTAGACACGGTCTGACAGGCTTGTCAACGCTAAAATTAACTAATCTCCTGTTGAATCTCTTGTCAACTCATCTGATAGGTTGTTGATAATTCAGTCAACCAATCAGATGACTTGACAAGAGATTAAATTGATTTTAACATTGATCGGCCTTTCGGAAACCGGGTGTAAATATTTGTTAAATATTTTTAGTTTCATTATATTAAAAGTATAGCAATCTTGGTGATAAATGCAATGCACTAAAAGACCACTTGTGGATCTATTTGTAAGTGAAAATCTATTTATACTTGAATAGATTCAGTATTTGTACATAAGGCACATATAAATGAAAAAACCATTATTATGAAATTTTTCTACGTTATTATAACAGATATACTAACGTACATACATATTTTACTAAGCTTTTTATTGCTGGACATGGAACACAAACACGGTTTGTTTGAGGCAAAGAGATTCAGTAATCTTACTTTTACTTTTAATGTATATAAACATTATTTATATATAAGTCTAAAAAAATATTCTATAAAAACTACAAAAAATAAATGCTATATAAAAATAATATTTGTTACTATATATACTTAGTATTTTATAATGGTCTATTGGTTTAGTTAGGTGGTTAACTAAGGGCTGATTTTTTACTAGTCAGATAAGTGTTATCTGAAGAATAAAATGGTTGCTGTTACTGTCTTATACAAACATCCTGACGCGACAGCATCATAATTATTCCCCAGGTAACCAATGAAAAATCAGCCCTAAAGGTAAAAACTTATGGTATGTTTATTTATATTGAAGAGGTTGTATAAAATACATGAAACTATTATTTAAATTTGGTTTATTAGCTATTGATTTAGGTAAATGCCAGACATATATTAGATAAAAAGACATGCCAAGATAATTTACATTTACTTAATAACCAACCAAAACCGATAGACCGTAATACCCTTTGCAAATAATAGTTCAGGCTTACATTAAAATCAGGTGGATTCTTAAGACACTTTGATCTTTAGAATGAGTTAGCAAAGATTTGTTTAATTACAGTTGCACTAGATTTTATTTAATGAGCTGTTTTCAGACATCATATTCAATATGAAAAGCACTGGGAAAACACTGTACAAAAGATCTCTATCATACACATAATATAATATCATTGGGTCTGCCTTCAGCCTGTCTCAATTACCTATCGACAGAAAACTTGGAGCAAAATCTCTGATCGACAGAAACTTTGTACATGTAAAATATTCTTATTATTATAACTTTCTTAGTTTTAAGGGCAAAACAACTCAAAATTAATGAATTATTTTTAGTATTCATATTCATATCTTCTGTGTTATAATTTTAGAAACAGTAAATAATGAATTACCTATAATTGATGTTATTGTTTAGCTTGCTCAGTTGCGTAATGTTTGCTGCACTAGAATATGTGTTGCATGAGTAAGCCGTAAAAATGATAATGACTAAACTGCTTAGCTGATAATGCCCCTAATTTATTTCGTTCATTAGTATGGCTGTTAATTCTTTAATATTTTTAGTTGTACAGTCTAAATTTAACCTCTAGTTACCAATAATAGTAGTAGACAGGTAATTGAAACAGACCACAATAGATATTCCAAACAACAAGTTTAAGATAACATCTTCAGAATACCGGTAGTCATAACAATAAAGAATAATGGTAACGGACTAAATATTGATGAAGAATTGCACCCATCTTTACTGTTACAAGTACAGTATTCCATAAAAATGTTATAGGTACCAGTTCTCATGAGACAGAATCTCTCGTCTCCTTGGATTCCAACCTCACCCAGATATGCACAGTCTCGGAAGTAGCGCCATTCTCCATTCACTGAAAAGTTAAGGAACGAGATAAAGTTTTAAAAATAATATAAAGGTGGGTTTTTAAAATTGGAATTTTAATAATAGGTAAGAATAGAGGCCAGTTCTTGGTCTTGGTGAAACTTTTTTATATTGTTTTATATACACACAAAGCTGATATTGTTTGTTAACCTTATGACCGCCATGGTCAGGTATAAACAACAAATCAAATATACTTAATTACTAGCTTTTGGCAGTTACTCTATTCGTGTGTAATAATGACTTCCTGCAGATTATTGGTATAAAAACTATCCTGTGTCCTTTCTCAAGTTCCAAATTATGTCTGTACCAAATTTCAAAGAAATTGGTTCAGTAGTTGAGGCCTGACGAAAACTCAGAGTTACTTTCTCATTTATAATATTAGTTTGATGATGTGTTCTGGTTGGCTTTAATCGAAATAAGCTAAGTAGCCTTCATATTTTTGGTTTGTCTATAACCAACCATGGCAGACAAAAGATGAAAACTAAGTGTTGTTACTTAAGATCATAGTGTCATCACATACTACATTATTTATCACACCAATATGTTCTAAATATCAAAAAACTTAACCTTAATCTTATAATTGGCAAAATATAACACAAAGAGTTACAATTTAGCCAAAGACTATTTATATTTTCAAATTTTTTTTCTGTTTTATCAAAGGTTAATGGACAGTTGATAACCCTTATACTAAGTTCGTATATTATTATTTCTAATAAGTACGAAAATCAGTGTAAATATGTACCTACCAGCAACTATATTTTACCTACCACATACAGATAGGCATATTAGGAATTTGTAAAAAGGTTAATATATCTTATACAGGTACAAACCTTTTTGCCTGATCTTACGGCACATGGAAGGCCGGACTCCAGGTAAATGAGACAATCCTTTCTCTTGTTTACAATCTGTTATTGGCACCGTACTGTTGTCGAACGGATCAGCGCATTTCGGGTCATTGCTCGACCGGCAATTCCAGCATTTAATACTGAAAACTGTTATCAACAAGTGTTATTATGATACCGCTTGGGCGTGACCATGTTTATGAATGAAAAACGATGCTTACCGTAAGGCACTACGTTCAGGACAATGCAGATATATAAAACACATCGTAAACTGTTACTCATGTTGATTATTTATTGTTTTTACTAATATTACCTCTCGAAAATCAGCGAAATTAACAGAGGCGTTTTCTGTTACAATAGAAATTATTTCAATAAATTCAACTGACAAGTGTCAAAGGCCGACTCATAGAGTATGTAAACCTTTCGGCCGACTGTTGTCGCTTGACATTTGATTGGATAGAGACGTTATTGTTTTACCTCGATTCTTTACAATTTATTCCGGGTTTTTTTTTATTATTTGTAAAGATATACATATCCTGTGTATCTGATCAATCTGAAATGTAACTTGTCTAAACACTTTGAAAAATTTAATAAAACGAACTCAAATAGTAAAACTGTTCATATTTTTTGAGGCCATTTGTGAATGGCATAATTTATTTTTTATGAATGAAATAAAATTGTGAACTAGGTACAGTTTGATTATTTTTAATAAGGCAACTACATCAAGATGCCCAATTTGTTAACCGATACTTTCAATATCACTGACATTCCCATTTGTCGTCTAACAGTCCTAATTTTCCGGTTTTAGTCACCTCTAAACAAAGTTTGGGTTGGGTGTGTACAATTCGTTATTTTGCGAATTTCGTTATTTTTATAGCTTTTTAAGAATTAATATTATCAAAATGTTATTAAAAGTGTTTTTACTTACGTTTTTGTGTATTTTACCAGTAGGTAAGTGGTTGTATAATTTTATTTTAACACAACTTTTCCAGCAAATATTGTTGTACACGGTGTAAACGTTGTTTTGTCTTATTATTTCAGTATTTTCTGTAAGATGCTATCAGTGTGCATCTTCACAAGATAGTAAAGGTGAAGACAACTGTGGGGCGTATAAGAAATTTGATAAAGAAAGCCACATAGCAGTGGAATGCTTCAGTGATGAGTCTCATATGCCAGGATCTTTTTGCATGAAACTGACTCAACAAGGGCCTAAAGGATTTATTTGTAAGTCAAACTTCTTTTATCAAAAAAAGTAATTTGTAAAATGCTAATTTTCGTGCCTATCTTTACTTTGTTTTGTTCTTTTGCTCACATAATTTAAACAAACAATTTGTAGTGTTTACCACTCCACAACTTAGTAGTCTCAAAGATGTATTTTAATGTCTAAAAACAATAAAATGTATAAGTTTCTTTTGATGTATTTACTTTCTGAATCTTATACATAGTTCTTACAATCAGAATTAACTATAGAACTAATGTACCTATGTCTATTTCTAGTTCAGAGACACCTGTTACTAAAAGATTTTTGTAATATTTTAGTTATCAATTTACTTATTTGAAATAAAAAGTTTAAGAAATGGTCTATGGAAAATAAGATGATGAAAGATATTATTATAAATGGACTTTGTGAAAAATAACAGGTTTATGTTATTTAATAATTAGCTATAGGTAGCCAACCTTAAGCTATCGATTGGTGATAATAGAAAATAGTGTTGTCTCAGTCCAGATGAGAATTTATACATGTGTCATCAATATAATTAGATTCCTTATTTCTTTACAGGGGATGGTAGATGGCGACAAGTTATCAGACGCTGTGCATCCGTAGCAGTGACAGGAGTTACCGGGGTTTGTAACTGGGGTGTGTATGAGAATGGAGTTTACTGGGAGGAATGTTACTGCTCATCAGATGAATGTAACAGTTCATCATTCATAACATCATCTGTAACACTTATTTTGTGTACAATAGGAACTGTTTTGTTCTTACCTAAATTACTATAAAGCAGCTTCAGATCTTTTAAAACATTGTGCCTTGATATAAATTTTTTACTTGCATTCTCCATGGAAATAACAAAAATTGTACTATTCTAGGCTCTCGTTTCATCACCATTATGTTATGGAAGCTATAGACTTTATGGCATAATATAGTTTATACGAATTGTTCTATATTCAAATTCACCTGGTGGTATAGAGTTCATACAAATGTATGTTCCATATTTAAATTTTTCCGACATTTCATTATAATTGTGTTCTACATTTAAATTTAGCTATGAGATGCTGACATAATCAATATTGTGTAACAGGCCTTAAAAGTAACCTAGTGTTTCTTATAATGTCTACAAAATCATTATGTTTGTTGTTTCTGTTTCGTTATACCTGTATATTGTTTCAATCAAACCATCACATCTTTGGATCTTCAAAAACTATTTTGTTTAGAATCGAGACTTTTAATAATATATCAGTAAAAATGTATACAGTGTCTTCTTTTGAAGACAGTTGAATGTGAAGTATCAACATTTAATGTTGTGTTTTAGTAGTAGTATAACACATTTAGGTACAAACTATGATTTTTTTGTATAATGTATAAAGAATGACAAAAAAGATTGCCTTGTCACAACAGTGCCTTAGTATATGTTACACTTGGTAGATAATTCTATTATTAAATTTTTATTTTTTATATTATGTAAGTGCAATCTAACATTCCGTCCACTCCACAACAGATATTCAAATTAAATATATTTAAAACTTTTAATGTTAGAATAGGCTAAAAGTAGTTAAATTAAGAATTTCCGTCCAAATGTGTTTTACATTTTTTTTTTAAATGAGGTAACTTGATATTATATTTTTTATTTGATGTTTATTTGTAATTACATGAATCTCATTTTTTTATAAAATACTTGAGCTATACCTTTTATAAGTATGAAAAAATATGAAATATTTAATAATATGTTTGTATAGTAAGATACGGAAATAAAAATGTTCATTGAAATCTAATTACTATATATATGATAATTACATTGTTTAGTTACAAACAGCAATTTGCATTGAAATGTTAAAAATCTTTGTTAGGTACTGAAAATGTATAATTTGAAATACCTAGTACCTACCTGTTATACTTATACATATTTATATTATTTAATAGTTAATTTGTATCACACTCTGACTGATAACAATATATATTGTTATATACATTTTTAAATTTGTTTTTTTTTTTATTATCAATTATATCTAGTTACCTAATGCCGCGCGGTTTCAAACGCTGCTCTGTTCCTATTGGTCGTAGTGTGATGTTTTATAGCCTTTTTCACTCCGTAACATTGTAGCTATCTATCAACTAAAATTTTGAAAGAATTTTGGAAATCCGACGAGCGGTTCCAAGGATTACCGCCTTTAAACAAACTTACATAGGTATCTGTTTTATAATAATAGTATCTTATGTTAAGATACACACCAAGACGCGCTCGTACATTTTAAAACAGCGCCACAAAAAAACAATTTTATCTCCAACACGACAGTGTGGGAGATCCGCGTTTCTGTAGGAATGGGTCAGCTCGACCGGAGTGATAACACGGACTCTAAGAAAACCGGCGTAAGACAATCACGCGTTGTGTTTCGCGCTGTGAGTGGGGTTACCGGAAGGCCATCCATCCATACTGGTTTCCCATCCCATATCTCTAAATAAACATTTTCTCGACGTTTAAGAAAGTACAGAGCCTATTATATTAGTACCTATGGTTACCTACCTACTACCTATGGTTTTTAACGTATTCTTATCCGTAACAGTCAAGTATTGTTAGGTACTGTAGTAGTAAGTTAGGTAGGTACTGTATAGTTAGGTAGGTAGTTACAAACTAACTATAGGTTACACAGGTGGAGCCCAATAAGTGATTTTGTTCAGCGTTCAGGCAGATATTTACCTACCTGCCTATGAAAGATTTGTGTTTTGGTTTTGGCTAATTACTTTGTAAGTGGCGCTAAATAAACGAATACTTTCCTACGAAGATTCCACGCACCGCGACAACAATTAATCAACAGTTATGTTTTAATTTTTATCTAATACCTATTAGGTATTTATTAGATAGGTACTTTGCATGCCACCTATTACATAAATTCGTATCCATTATCATTATTTTCGAGACCTTGAAATAGAAACAGTAATAGATTCCTTGAGCTAATCATCCGCTCCTAATGTTACCCTGTTACTGACTAACATTAAGAACCAGAGGAAAAGCCACAAGACTTAGGTAGCAGAGCACTTAGGACCACAGAACTCGAAATGGTATTTGGAGGCGAATGCGATTTCTTGCGTTTCAATTTAATAGAGAGGTAGATACGTGGCTTCGAGCTCCGGTGCGATCTCATGGCAAAGTGGAAACAACGTCTGTCGCAACTGAGGGCCGGGCTCGCTCTTAAAGCAGCGGTAAGAACTATCTATGAGGAGTGGCTTGAGAGACGCCATGGCGTTCTCACCTTCCGCCTGACGCTTTGGTAGGTAAGTACCTTTTTCAGATCCGGCGGATGGAAACGCCCGGATATCGTCATTGTTAGAACCACTCGGAGGACACGGTGGAACATTATATAGGTACAGGTGTCCCCTCTTTGGGCTGAACACTGTCCTGTCCTTTGGGAAGTGATCAGCGGCAGCGACCTTTCGCGCCTAGCCTTAGTCGAGGCCATAGTGTGGGGCGAGGGGAACTAGGCGTCTCCCCTTTAAACGAAGCCGGATTCTTTTTCTACCTAGCTAGGTAAGGAGGAGGCGTATTGCGTGAAGGAGCTATCCTTCTACCGCCCCATCCGCTGCAATAGGCGACAATCCGGGCGTCTTGGAATGAGCAACAATTTCCGGCCACCCTAATCGCGGGTCTGGGTGGCTCAATAGTCCACCAAAATTGGGGCCCAAAAGGGCCGATGTTTAGCCGGGGTCGCGGGTCAAGCGCAATAAGGCATTGCGGCATAGAGCAAGAAAAGGTAGGGGGGGCATTTTTAGTCAGTTAGAGTCTGACACTCCCTCTTGCCATACCCTGGGCGAGAGAAGATATAGATGATTTTGCCTCCTCAAACAAAAAGAGACACTGCGGGCTTCGGGAAGTGGAAAGCCACCTAAACTTCTGACACCGAGCAACTATACATATATGTATTATACATATAGGTAGGTACCATACCTATTTAATCTACAATTGGTCAAATTAAGATTGTCTTGCATAAAAATCTCAATTAAAATGCGTCCCGTCCAATTTGTTTCTATTTTTAACTAAGTATGATTAATGGTATCAACAAACGCTGAATGGCTCCGTATTACATAAGAGGCTCCTGAACTAATGAAGATTAAATTGTTTTGTAAATATTTTAATGTAATAAGTAAAGTTAAAGAGTTCCACAACCAATTTTGACCTTCTTGTTGACGATTCGACGCTACCTTTCCTGAATATTGTGACGGAAAAGAGTCATCGTGACGTCTATGAATGGTTGTCAAACGTTGCCTTGACAAAAAGTTCGAGTTCCGCCGTAAGCATGGAGTTTTTAGTTGATGGAAATTTTGTGTAGAACTTTCTGGAAGCTTTTGTGTGAAAGAAATGAAAAATTAAAGAGCGAGAAGGAGAATAAAAAAATGAATAATGAAATTATTAATGAAAAGCCGAATGAAATTGAATGTTCCAGAACCTGACCGGGGGTATATAGGTAAGCGGAACTGCGGCTCACCGCTGGCAGTTGAGTTCTAAGTCCAAAGCGATTCGGAAGAAAAGGAAGAAGTGAAACAGAAGAAAAGTGAGTGACATAGTGAAGTGCTGTGAAATAGTGAAGTGCAGTGAAATAGTGAAGTGTAGTTAAGTCAGCGTGAACAGTGAGCAGCAAACGGAAGCTTGTATCAGTCCGGACTCTGCTAGAGAGGAACTCGGTGGACGCTGTCACTTAAGTTAAATAGAAAGTCTGAAAACCGGTATTAGTGTTTAATTTCATCCAATCCCGTAACCTAAGCCCGCATAGTCAGGAACGTGACGTCAGGCTCGTAACAATATCAACACTAGTGGAATTGCAAATGCGTTGTTGGCCTTGGCCCCACCCATGGGGTGGGAGAAGTAGATAAAAGGCTGCTTTTTTCCCTCAAAAACAAAGTTTTGTGTCTGACTTTCCGTCGAGTAGATATAAGTACCTACCTAATTTAAGGGTAGGGCAAATGGTCGTTGATGATTTCTAAGAAAAAGCGACGACCTAAAGTCGACAGCCGGCATCGTGCTGTGTTTAGCAATTAGTTCGCCACCCATTAACCTCTTACCTAACACAATGTGTACCTACACTTATGTCTACAGGCGCCTTAGGAAAATAAAAGGCCTATGTTAGGTAGGTACATTTTCTATCCATTTTAAGAAACAGGTAGATTTTTTTTATGTGATGCGTAAGCCATATTATTCTTGCCGCATTATTACAGGATGGTAAGCAATCGGCGCCGCCCATAGCCAACAAACATATCTGGGAGTAATTATAGACGATAAGTTTAACTGGAGTTATCATATAGAACGTGTTTGCGATAAACTTCGACAATTTCTAGCTATTATGACCATACTAACAAACCGTCTGCCCTTCAAGGTGAAAATAATGCTGTTTTATGCGATGGCGGAATCCTACATCCAGTATGGCCTTAGTAGCTATGGTCGTACCTATAAGACCTATCTTGACAGTATCTATAAAATACAAAAACAAATTCTTAAAACAATAGTTTCTCCTAAAATAAGATTTAAGTTTTATGATAATATAAATGGTCTCTTTAAGCACTGTAATGTCCTACCAGTTTATACTCAAATACATTTTCTGTTATTAAAAGAACAATTTTTCAATGAAAATTTACTTAACAAAATCGAACATCCTGTATGCACTCGGGCAGTTTCTGAGAATAAGCTTCGTACACAGCGCGCCAACAATACGTATGGCGAGCGAACTAGCGGGTATATTGTACCACGGCTTATTAATAGCATACCCTCAGAAATAAAAAGTAATATTACACCTAAAAATATTAATTGTAAACTTAAGAAATATTACTTAAGTATTATTTAAGAATGTTTTCTCCTACTGATTGACACAAATATTGTATAAATTAATTTCGATAATAACGTACACATACTTAATTATAAAACTGTAACTAATTTTTTTTTTTCCTTCGTTTTGAGATGATTCATGATAGCACAAGTTTAAACCTTAGTGGTTTTTTGGTTGCTATTTAACGTAAATAATCTTGTAATATTTTTTATAATAACTATCGTGAGACATACTAAATTAACTAAAATTCGCGGGTTACTCACGTGTAAATGATGAGAAAAGCTCTACTAGTTTCGAACCACAGAGGGGTTCTTCCTCATGAGCAGCGTGCGCGGACGCGGCGACGTCGCGCAGCCTACTGAGGAAGAACCCCTCTGTGGTTCGAAACTAGTAGAGCTTTTCTCATCATTTACACGTGAGTAACCCGCGAATTTTAGTTAATTTAATCTTGTAATATTTGTAAAAATGATAAATAAATAAATAAAAAAAAAAAAACACTAGAGGAGTTGTGACTAGCCGGCATTATAGGGATAAGGGGGGTTTTGGGATTCAAAGATTGGAAAGTAGATTTGGGGTAGGTTAAGGATTGGGCCTCAAGTAACCTCACTCAAACGACCAAAGACAACGCTGTCAATTAAAAATTTAGGATTAAATGACAAATGAGCAGACGGATCACTTACGAGCAATTGGCGCCACCTACAAACATCTTGATTTCCAGAAGAGTTGGAAGTGC